AGTCTGTAGACGTCAGCTTCGTCATGCATGCTAGACAGATAACATACCACGGACATGGCTTTCAAGTGGTGGCACATTGAGATAATCAGCACCATCTAAATGCCCTCCCATACACTTGGTGAAGCTGCTGATATATTCCTCCGTGCAACAGTTCAAAGTCGAATCCGAGCAGTTCTAACCGAGAAGATCAGACCCCAACCACACGAAAAAAACTCGGGTACCTCGGTGGCGCGCTCAAAGTCTTGACACCGCCATTCCCAAGAAACGTCTGCCTCCAGTTCGATAGCCACTACTGGTTGCGCACAAGTAGCATCAATGATAATCGCAAACCATAAAGCAACAAGCCAAGATAGGTGCTTGGTCATGGCGACAAGAGGGAAACAATGCCCCGCATCCACACGTCACCGCATACTATATAGGCGTCGCGAACCTCGATTCTTCCAAAGACGTTCCATTCCCCGTAGCATAGCATTCGAAGGTGGAACATAGAAACCCCGGGATCTGATTCAGATAACGCAATATAGAGAGCCGACTCGCGCAAACAAGATATTAAGATGTATTCCACTCCAAGTGTACCTAATATTAACTGTAACCGTGCATCAGCGTCTTCTTCCACGACAGGAACGAGTAAGCGACTCACATAAATAAACAGTACACCCCCACAACCACTCCCATCACATGGGAGCATATGTCAGAACCCCAGCGCTGATAACAACACCATCAGACGTTGCCAACTCTGGCCGCTGAGAAGGAAGCTTCAACCGTAGTAGCATTACCACTCTTCAGAGTCAACGAAGCCGTGGGGAGAGATACATCGAAAGACAACGCCGCTGCGGCATGAAGTGTCGAGGAAAATCTACGTCAAACAAACAACCGTCGAAAGCTGCCACGCCCAGTTCACGACAGCCAACAAGTATGGTACCGATCACTGCGGCCGTATAGCAGTACCAGACCGTCGCGAGCGTGAAAATGTGACGGCTCGACGGTGGAAGGAGAATATAAGAGCCAGGAGCAAAGCAGAGCCGATGATATAACAAGTCGTCCTACCACAGTTGAATGAACAGGCACTTCCAAGGTCGATGCTCCCAATGTCCCGAAAAGTCCGAGGTGGTGATGGTGGTGGATAACTGGATAAGACGACAGGTTTTCGGGCCACGTGGGTGGTCATTCCCTACGCGCCCAGGCCGAATTTCCACTACTCGACAGAGGAGTAGAGGCGAAAATCCAGCACAGCTCACGTCGTGCATCCCCATCACGAAGCAAGGCAGGGCAAAGTCAATGTTGATCGTTAGGTACCAAAGGACCCGTATTATACCGCAAAGAGGTTGTCGCAAAAGTACAAATTCTTTCAGAGGGGGTGGAAAGGTCGGTGTGGAAGTCCCGACAAAGGTCGCTCTGTATTTCTGGCGCGTAGTCAGATCGGGGCAAATCCCATTCCATGAAGGACACGATGTTGTATAATCATTCTTATTTCTCTAAATGCACTACCATTTGGATGCGCCTCCAGTCTTGAAAGAAGTCAGTGATTGACTAGGGTTAAAAAGTCGGGAATGTATATACCTCTATTGCAGTCATCTCGTCCGCGCTCAACTCCCGCATCCAGAACCGCTTTGGTGCCTCCCAGAATTCGCTAAATATCGCGGGTCCCGAAGGCCCGGGTGCTGGCGTGGATTTGGAGAAGCCAGCGGATAGAGGAACGCCTGCAGGATGGGCGTGTGGTGTGGATGGACCGGAGGGCCATGTTCGCTTTCCAATGAATCTAATGAGGGGGGTATACCCTAGACGCGCAGACGGGTGCATAGTCGATTATGGCAGTAAACGGAAGAGGATTGATGAGCGGTGGCTGTGCCGGTTGGAAGCGGCCCGATTGCGCGTGCTCATCCAAACCTTAACCATAGGCGGCTTCATTCAATCCACTCATGCTTGTATTCTCTTCCGTGACGATTTTAATCCAGAGATACTCAACAGGAGTCTGAGTAGGCGCGCTTTTGTCGCCCACATTTGCAGACAAATGGCAATGCAAGATGTACCCGCCACAATCCGATTGCCAACAGTGCCGCCACCAGGAGTCGATGGGAAATGCGGCGCTGACCACGCCAGCGGCCCATTCCTACACCTATTCTGGCACGAAGGTGAGCCCTCATCATTCCCAACTTTGCCCTTTTTGGATAGACAATAAAATGCTCCATGAGAGATCAGAAAACCGCGCGCTTAGCTTTCTGTTCCAAGTTCTGGAATGTTGTACTGTGGGTTTTCTGCACCACCTGAATCACTGCTATCTCACCTGTGAATACAATAACAGATGAATGCGGTACGGTTGTGGGTCCAGCGGTGCCATCAATATCAGAAATGGATCCTTTTTCTCTGGTGCACAGATCCATCTCCGTGACAGTTGGCTGGGGTTATCGACCGACATCGGAGCTGAATGTCCATTTTTGTGTGAGTTCAATGTCACACCAGAAGATATGGAACCGTAAATGTGCGATGGAGGGCCGGAAGAAGAAGAATGACATCCCAGCGATTGTTGGGCAATCGCCGAGTTCTGCACTGTATGCTGAATGGTATGTAAACGTCTTGACCGAAATATCTCTTATGAATTCGAACGGAAACCTAGGATGTCGTCTTCAGGCTACCCGATACGCTTACCAGCTGGTTATCCTCTGCCGCTCGCCCCGACGACTTTCGCGGCCGCCACAAAACGCACAGGAACAGCCATTCCTGCTGACCCAGAAAAACGAACTCCGCCCGTTCTTATCTCCACCATCATCTATGCATTCCTCTCGAAGACAACGGCGCTTCCTGCCTTTTGTCCATTCTCAGCTTATCCCCAGAGGGAACAAAAGAGCTTTGAGGTATATAAGGGTGGGTGCTAGCGTCTTCCTTTCTTCAGTTCCCTCATCTCATCTACTTCTTTATCCGCTAAGCAGGCGCTCAACTTCGAGGTACTGTCTTCTACATCTTGCGAGTCCTTATGGTCGGCGTCGCAATGCAGCGGCGCCACCACCCATCCCCGGAGGAGGGCGATTATCGTCCGCGCGTCCCCTTGTCGTGGGCCTCTGGGCTTAAACCCACTAAGAACGCGTTAACTACCCATCACACACAGTGCTCATCATCGGTCCGTCATATTCCTCTCTGCCTCCATTCGTTCACCTGCTGACCTCAACCCAGACTCAGAGCTCAATAAACGCTGCTGCCCGTACGTCGTCCCGCCTTGGCGCTGATCTCTTCTGATGTGTATGCAGACTGCCACGTGCACTCCGACACCAACCCCCAGCTGTAGATCGACGAAAGAGGTTCCACCCAACACGACCGTCCAACTTGCTCCGTGCAGCATGCGACGACATTTATCCGCCGGGCCTCTGGCTGTCCTTCTCGGCTCTACCCCGTCAATGAGTGCACGCAACAACCCATCATATGAAAATGCATATATGACTTCGGGATGACATGTGTGGCGGCAAGCGAGAGTGGAAATATGCACTGTAGGTCGCTCTCATCCTTTTTAGATTCATGCTGATTGTGGATACCACAGACCAATAAAACACTCTTTTTAAGTCTCAACTCCTTATGCCGTATGCTAACCTTTGGTCGAGCGCTCTAAACTCACCGAAACAACCCGCGCTTCGCCTCACAACGACAGCCACGACCGTCCTCGTCTCCCACCCAAACCGTCCTCGTCACTCGGACACAATAATTTTATGCTGAACATCACGCTTATTATCCTGTAACTAACATAGAGGAGACGCAGGACGGTTCCAAGGCCACGGCCCATTGAAAGGTGTGCTTGATCTTTCCTTGTCATCGGAAGTCGTGTCTGATTGTCGGTGCGCAGGTGATCAACAGACTTTCCTTCCTCTTTTCCTCATCTTGTAAGAGAGTGAACGCAACTTTTGTCGTCGTCAACGCTTCCCGTCACTCCATGCGCTTCACCCCTTCGTACGTCTCCATATTCCCCATGTCGAGTCCTTTGACTGACTAGCGTCTTCACAGGACACCCCCGATTCAATCAAATCGGTCCAAGAGAGTGAACACGACCAAAAAGTGTCGTAACACCAACGGTCCTACATATTCCTCACTCTCAGTGCGTCTTATGTCTATATGTCGTTTACCTTGTAGCTAACCGCCCGCCCTAGATTTTCGCCCAATGTGATGTACGGCTGTGAGAGGGAAAAAGTGTTATCCTGTATTGTATGTAGTTCCCGGGGGATTTCGTGCTCCCTTGTCGTGGGCCCCGGGCTTGAGGCTGTAGGCCGACTAAAAGCACGAATGGTAATAGGCTGAAAGATGTAGTTGTAAAATAGATGTCGAAGCATGTAATCTGATCCATCCAAGCTGCATTTTATATTGTATATAATGATTAGTACAGGTAGGGCTTGTTTGCTGTTTCCAAACTACCTTTGACCGAAATCAAGTCCTCTTGTCGGGATAGTGAATGAGAAGTGATTGGTAGTATGGTACGGAAAATAGGGTTGCGCAGGATACCTATAATATCGCGCCGTTCGATATTTAACCGGTTATTAACGGTTATTAACCGGGTTAATAACACCCCTTCAAGAGGTAAGTTTTTGTGCAGTTATTAACCCATCACATGATGCAGTCATGTGAACAGGTGGGGCGGGGTGGGCGCATTGGGGCGGGACCGGCGGGGAGGAGGGTGATTGCGGGCAAGAGGGCAGGTAATGGGCCACTAAACCACATAGATTCATTAGAGGATTGGTAGAACTCGAATTAGATGACTTTGAAGCCACTGGATAGGTTTCTGAGGGCCCGAGAAGAAATTTTTGCCTCAGACCGGGAAAATACGCCACATTGTATCACGTGCGCGGTTAATAACGGTTACTAACCGTTAATAACATACCCCAAAATGAGGGTATATTCCGCCGTGGTTAGTAACCGCCTCTGGCAATATACTGCGCAACCCTAACGGAAAAGTCACAAGTTGGCTACGACGTACGTGCCGCAAAATTCAAAAAACAAGCGATTACTGTATCCGTCCTGCCTATTGGCCAACGTGGGGATCGAACCCAAGACCTCCGCGTTATTAGCACGGCGCTCTAACCAGCTGAGCTAGTCGGCCGTTGCACGTGTACCGATCCATAATATGTTCAGGCTTTGGAGTATCCGTTCATGCAAGATGGAGACAACTCCGCCTGTTTCCATCTCAAAATCAGCTAATAACGGTTGAAGTTGCTTAGCAGGCTTTTATGAATGCTTTGGTACATTTTCCCCCACGAAGAGTCGTAAGTTCTTTCCTCCCTCCGCGTATAGTACTTGTGAGGTACGAGGATTGTGGTGATTAAGTAGACATCTTTAGGCCTCCTACATGGGAACATCAATCTACTGTATGTGCCCGGCAAGATAGTCAATCTGGAGGGCGCGCGCCGCTATGACTCTCAATAATATTTACTTGTAATTAAGAGAGTGCCAGTGAACGCGACTTTTTGTCGTCGTCAACGCTTCCCTTCACCCCGTCTCCATATCCCCCATGGCGAGTCCTCTAGACACCCCCGATTCAATGCAATCGGTGAACACGACAAGCGTCAACGCGTTTTAGTAACATTCCTCGCCCTCAAATTTATCTTCTCCGTAACCGCCCCCACCCTAGAATTTTGCCCAATGTGATGTGAGGGAGGGAAAGGCATATTGTATGTAGTTCCCGTGGGGGTGTATGCGTGCTCCCCTGGCTTGAGAACTAAAAGCACGAACGGTGGCTTTGGTTCCGCTGCAATATGTACCGAAATCATACATACTTTCCCGCCCGCACTGCATAAACCAAGAACGCGCGCTCCGTCTAATGAGCATGCTCAAGTTCGAAGCGACTAGGTAAAAAATAGATGCTAGCACAGTACGTGGATGTTACGCGTCGTGGTTCAACTCGTACATGTAACATTAGGGTATCAGAAGAATGAAAAAAAATCAAACAGGGCACTGAAATATACTGTGAGTATAATACGAAGACGCACGAAAACGGCAATCTACAACACCCACGACTAAAAACTCCCCTCAGGCGGATTCGCATTCTGCGCCCTCAACAACCGCGTCCACGTCCCCTTCCGCCTCAAACTCGTGCTCCTGTTCAACTCGTCGCTCTTCTCCTTCTCCTTCTCCTTGTCCTTGCTAGACTTGGTCTCCGGCTTGGTCACAATATACTGCGAATGCCTTTGCATCAGCTCCATCTCTCTCAGCCAATTCCCGCCCGCCGTGGGCGGTGATGGAGGGAGCGGCGACGGTTCTCTGGGTGGGGCGATGCGAGTGGAGGTGGGGCATGGATGGTTGGAATGAGGGGCACTGCGGCGCCGACGGGGAGTGCGTCAGCGCGCGGGGGACGAGCGCGATCAGGTCGGCTGCTTGCTGGGTTGGAAGGGAGACCGTGCGATGGGCGGCTGCCCATAGATCGAGCGCGCGAGAGCAGACCCCCTTCAGCTGGGGTTCGTGCTCGTCCAGCCGACGGCGCTCTCGCAACAGGTCGCAATGGAGCCACTGGGATAGACGGCGCACGTGCATGAGCAATGGGTATAGACGGGCTCGCCTCCGGCGGATGAACAGGATTATTGCGCGCGACGATGAAATGCGAGTCACGCGCCATCGAGTCCATTTCACGGCCCCAGCTTCTGAGCCTGGTGAAGGGAGCACCCGCGAGATAGGACGACCCCGTTCCTCTTCATTGGGTGTCGGGGAAGTCGATCCTCAATGTCCTGCATTCGTCTTGGCTCGTGGTCTTCGATCTCTTCGTCGAGATTGGACTCAGTGCGTGAGCATGGGTGTCTTGGGCACGGCGTCGATGAGGGGACGGATGCATTTGAAGTGGAATGTATGGCAGCATGGCGTCGTGAAGAGTGCTTGACGAACGGAGATGCCGCAAAGACCTGAACGGCTACGGTCAGATAATGATTTGAAGGAAAGTGGCACACGCACATATACAGCAGTCGGGTATGATTTGTTTCTTGCTTTCAGTGGAGGGTTGAGATTCTGATTTTGCCAAGGCATTCAGCGCACGTAACGCGCTCGTACTGAACATAACTCAGATAAGAAAGAGACAGAGTTGAATGTCGACTCACTCAAACGCTGTCTCGGGCTCTCGTCCAATCTCGACGCGTATCTTTACAGCCTTGTAGGCATCCTCCAGCCCTCCTTGATAATCGACTCCAAGCTGGAGTATGTCCCCATCAGCCAACGGAAACCACTTGCTCTCCGTATCCACCTGGCTGAGCCTCGACCGATTCAAAAAAGTCCGCTGGCCGACTTTGTATCCCGCACCATGATCGAACCGCCGTTATCCATCCACAGCTCTGCGTGCGTGCGCGAGACTATTTTCGACTTGAAGGCAATCTTTCCCGTAGTTGTCGTGCTGTTCGCGTTGTCCGCTGCAGACGCAGTACCCACGGCCTGCCCTCAAAGCGACCCATGACAACAGGCGGATCGCCTGGTCGCAGATTGCGGGCAACGATGCCAAAGCTGTAGGCGCGTCGGGTGTCGAGGTGGGGTACGAGGCGAATGCGTTGGGTTGGGCGACGACCGCCGAATTCGCCGAAACGCGTCTCGCCATTTGCAGAGGAGGGGGGCTAGTTAGACCGGTCCAGCCTGCGTCGCCGCCGATACTTTGTCCGCCACGACGACCACGGGGAAAAGATGGTACGAGTGGACTGGGGGATGGTGGCTCTGGTGTGGATATGCCGCGCTTGTGGCTACGGCTTTTACTGCGTGTGCGTAGAAGACCAAGGAGAGCAGGGCGTGATTGTTGTACTGCATTATCCGGTTCCGTGGATGGCCGCGAAGCCATGGAGAACGCGTCGGGATGACTAAATGAAATCGAGAATAACAGTTGTGGTGTGTCTTTGGGGTTGGAGGTTTGACCTAGCGCCAAGGGGGCCAAGGCAAGTCGTCCTGCACTCGAGGTAGTAAGGAGCGTGTTATGGGTGCGCTGATGCGTACCGCAGGGAGAGAAGGAGCGGAAGGGATGATGCTGGTATGCAGAAAGTAGCAGGACGGAAGAAAGAGGCGTGGATGACGAAAAGCAACAGTGGATAGGGTCGCGGCGTAGATCACAGGGCTACTTCCGAAGCCCATCGTCGAGACTCGAAATGGATCTTTTCCATTCCCCATAGGCGCTCGCTAACGGCAGCTGCGCCTTCCAGCCTCTTCCAGCCATCGCTGATCTTCTCGCTCTGCCTGTGAAGGGCAGCCTGGAGCTCTTTCTACATACACCTTGTCAATTTGTCATACTGATATTGTGATCCGGAGCGGCGGCAGATTACGCGGAACTGCAAGCGCCACCGTTATATAAAGCTCGGTTAAAGCCGATAACAGCACAAGAGAGTGGAAGGGGAAGATGTCGCTGCGATGAAGGTGAGGGGAGGAAAGCAAGAGGACGATGCGGGGTGATCGGATCAACTTGTACTGTTGACGTTAACGTTAACGGGTAGGTACATTCTCTCATTTCTGATGCAAATGAAATCTGCAGAAGTGCGCAAACGAGAGCCCCAACTCAGAGTCTTGCTCAATCCGCAACCTTCAACATGCAGTTAGTCCTCATCGTCAAGATCTCCTTGATCTTTGCCGCTCTCGTATACGCCATTTCCGCTCCCGTTCAGGATGGGATCATCTCGTCAGTAAACCAGTTCTCCCTTGGCCCATAAGCGTGATGCTCGCCGTCTCTATATAGTGCGCGCGGTGACTGGGAGGACTGCTACGACGAAGGCTATGACACTGGATACGAGGCCGGGTGCTCTGTAGCAGGAGGAGGGGGGAAACGTGAAGTGTACGGCTCCCGAATGGACAAAACATATGAGAAGATGTTCAAGCTGGAGTAGATGCTAGTTGATACGTCTTTGAGCATCCGAGTTGGCGCCACACTATATGGCCGGTATCAACAATATCATATGTACTTGTCGGCCGTCGACTCGTGAACTGAGCATGGTAACCTCAATGGATGTTTATTTGCTTTGATCTGGCGCAATACCTGTATCCCAATCACTCAAATTTAATAAATTCTCACTTGTGCACCCTCAGGCCTCAGCCTCTATCGATGTAGATCGTCAGTGAGCGCCACAATGAGCTCAACTTCTTGAAACTTTATTAGTTCACGGTCACGCACGCATCTTTCAAAGTTGCCAAATCCCATAACACTTCGATTACACAGGAAACAGGCATGTACATTCGTGTGTTTGGTCGGCCTACAGCCTTAAGCCCGGGCCCACGACAAGGGAGCACGAATACCCCCCGGGAACTACATAAAAACATTCCGTCTCTCTCACAGCCGTACATCACATTGGGCGAAAATCTAGGGCGGGCGGTTAGCTACAAGGTAAAAACATATAGTCGGAAAACGCACTGAGAGTCCGGAATGTGTAGGACCGTTGGTGTTACGACAGTTCTTGGTGGTGTTCACTCTCTTGGACCGATTTGATTGAATCGGGGGTGTCCTGTAAATATGCCAGTCAGTCAAAGGACTCGACATGGGGAATATGGAGACGTACGACGGGGTGAAGCAAGCGCATGGCGTGATGAGAAGTGTTGACGACGACAAAAGTCGCGTTCACTCTCTAACATGAGGAAAAGAGGAAGGGAAGTCTGTTGATTACCTGCGCGCCCACAATCAGACTCGATAACCAAAATTAAGCACACCTTTCAATGGCCCACGGCCTTGGAACCGTCCTGCGTTACAAGATAATAAGCGCCAAAAAGTCCGCCGTGTTGACGATGTCTTCAGAGAGGACGGTTCGATCTTCCAAGAATCCCACGAATCGTACTCCCGCGCTCATGTATCGCTGGAGAGGTCGTAGTCCTCGATGCATAGAAAGGGTGTATCACGGTCCATAGCAAGTCTAGACGAATACCGAACAAGACTTGCTTCAGAATGCTAGCTCGATAGGTCGGATAAATCCACCAAACTCTGCTTTGAATTCTGGGACGACGATGGAGAGAAATGAAGAGAAGGATAGGATGAAAGAAATGATAAGAGATAAGAAGCGGGAACAAACAATGGCGTGATAAGGCGTGATAGTCGTAATCTTCATGATGTCATCATATCTTGTGGGTAGCTGCATCACCGCCATGAATCGAATTGGGCCTCACGTC